GGGGCACCGGCGCGGAGGGACCGGCCCCCGGGCCGCCCATCTGCGCGCGGCGCCGGCCGGGAAACGAACGACTGGAAGGGGAGCCGTCCCCTCCAAGGTCCCCTTCAAGGACCAGAGCGCAGAACTCTGGAGGCGGGAGAGGGCGGCGCGAGCGGAGGGAGAGGGAAAGCGCCGCCGCCCCGCGAGCGTGGTCCCCGGCGCCCCCACGCAGACCCCGCGCAGTGTGCTACCCCGGAGACCTTGACGGGGGTCGCCGGCTTGAGCGCCTCGCCTGAGCTCCCTAGGAACAGGACATGGAGACACCAGGGTCGCATCACGATATGAGACAGAGATCTTTATACCCGATCCATTCAAGCCTGGTGTCCCAGCTCCGAAATGAGGCAGGCCCTGTGCCTGGTCCCCTCGTCTCTTTTGCATTGGCACCTAGGGTGCTCTACCGACAGTGAGCTGGTGGAACCAAACCGGTAACTTTCCCTGCCCTTGAACCCGGAGTTCGGAGAGGGGCTGGCTAATCCCCGTGCTATTTGTAACCCGCCCCGTGACACGGATCCACCCGTGCGAGGTTGCACACTAGAGGTCAAGGAGCTGCCAGAGGTGAGTCAGGTCAGCGGTGCCCTGAGCCCTGGGGACTTCCCAGCCAGGCCTTTTCTCTCGCGCTTCCTGTTCACCTCTAAAATCCTCTCCAGAGTCATGCTCATTGGATTAGCCTATTTTTATTACCTACCTGATACAGCAAGTTATTTGCAGTCCTTGTCTCTGAGGGGAAAGTATGAGTTAGGCTTAGCGAATTACCAGAAGAAGAGACTAGTAAAGAAGGGGTCAGAGGGAGAGGCTGGGTTGGGGAATTGGGGTTCACCCCAGTGACGTAATGGACAATTCCAGCCACAGGAATGCGGCGGGACCCCTGCCTGGGGGACCAGAAGAGGCCTTTCTTACAGACACGGTGCCTGAGGCCGCTGGGAATCCCTGCCTTAACAACAGGTAATGACTAGAATAGCAAATACTGGTCACATTCAACAGCCCTGGCCCTGCACAGGTTCTGCATTTGAGCTTCGACCCCGTGGCTCTTTTCTTCGTGTTTCCAGCAGCTCAGAAAAGATTGGAACCAGAAAGAGAGAGGGGAGCTAGGAAAGCAGTCATTTTCCAATGGCGGACGGAGGCCTGGAGGGGAGGCGCTTTCTGCCCCTGGTTGGTGTAGGGTGGAGTCTGAGCCGGGGTTCCAGACTGCCCGGTCTTCCTCCCTGCATTTACCTGTCACCCAAAGGACGTGCAGTGCAGCTTATTCCAAAACCACCTTTTTATTACATGGTGTTGTTCTGCCACGTGAGGCATCAGTATAGACCATCATAACAATGCAGACATGGTGTCCCAGGACTTTGCAGCCATCCAAGCCTTGGGTGGAGGTATCCTGATCAAAGTATCAAGATGTACCACCTTCTGGAAGGGCACCAAGTTATGTGTGCCCAGCTAGTGAGCAAATAACTAGCAGTGGTGATTGCACAACCTGGGCAGGTCCTGGGCTTCAGAGAACTCAGACCGTCATTGTAGGATTCTTCCCTTCTGACCCCGGGCTGCCAACAACTCTTCATCGTACAAAAGAGTTCCCAGTTCCTTTCCCTACTCGCTCTTCTTTCTCCCTTATTTGAAAATCAGTCTCTGGCTGTGTTCTGTGCAGACCTGCAAGGGAGCTGTTGATACAGCTGCCCCTTTGGTACCACATGACTGCGGGCTCGCCACCCATGACAGAGTTGAATGTCCCAGCACCAAGGGCAATCAGATTAGCCTCCCTTGGGATACCTGCTGCAGGGACTGTTTGTGTCTTTTGGAGCCCAATTGACTAGATTCAACGCCTTGGAAATTGGTCATCAATCAAGTACGAAAGACATAACCCAGCGGGTTTCCAGGTGTATGTCCTCACAGCAAACCTAGTCTTAGGAAAGAAGCTGGATGACCTTGTCACTGTCCCAGTCCAGCCTATGTGGCAGTGGAGGCGGGGAGCCTAGAGTGAATCCTTAGGAAAATAGCACCTCCATACTGATTTCCATAGTAGTTGTAGATATCTTCCAAAGGAGTTAAAAGATGTCATATTATAGCAGCACATGCATACCCATGCTTATAGCAGCCCAGCTCATAGTAGCCACATCTTAGAAGCAGGCCGTATATCCATCAACAGATGAATGGATAAAGAAATATGGAATTTATATACAATGGGATACTACTCTGCCACCAAGAAGGACAAACTTGAATCATACGTAGGAAAATGAATGCACCTTGAGACCATAATGTTCAGTGAAACATACAGGCTTAAATATTGCATGGTTTCTCCTCATATATGAGAAACCTAGAGTAAAAATAAAGATTAAGATAAAAGATAGACAATAGTAAGTAAGGAAATTATTTTTTTTAAAGGAAAAGGGGCTGAAGGGATGTGTAGGAGGGGAGAAAAGGAAAAAGGAATGAAAAAAGGAATTAAGATGTGTATGTATATGTACCAACTCCACACAGGTAGTGTAAACATAAATTTAAGAAGACTGAAAAGTAGCATCAAAACAAGACTTTAAAATGGGCTTAAAAAGTGGGGTGAGCCTCAGATTCAGTTAGTGATTACAAAAGAGTAAACCTGTTGCGTGTGTTTGTTTATTCCACATGTATGTACTGAGCACTTACCACATACCAATACATAAGACAGAAAAATCTTTTGCCTTCAAGGAATTTATGGTAATCCAACGAAAAGAAGACAACAAAATACAAACATTATCCAGAGTAGTCGAAGGCTATGGAGAGCAACGTATGCAGCTGGGGATCCGAGGTGCTGTAGAAAGTCCAATTTAAGTAGAGCAGGTGAGGCAGGTACCAGCGTAAACGAGATTGCAGCAGAAGCTTGAGGGGAATGAGGAAGCCTCATGTTTTCTATTATTGTATAACAGATTGCCCCAAACTCAGAAGCTTCAAACAACAAAGGCGGACTATCCCTGGTATCTGCAGACCAGGAATCTGGGTGGTTCTGGTTGGAAGGCTCGCAGGAGGCTGCAGCAGAGCACGTGGCTGGCGGGGCGGCAGGTGTGTGAAGGCGTGCAGGATGAGCCCGAGGGTCTGCTTCCCGGATGGCCCACATGCACTGTTGGCTGGAGGCCTGGGTTTCTCACCATAGAGACCTCTACCTCTAGAGCTGCCTCAGTGCCCCCGTGATTTGGGAGCTGGGTTCCCCTATCTCAGGCCATCCAAGGGAGAGTCAGCCACTGGGCTGTCTATGACATAGCCTCTGAAATCCTGCACCATCACTGCTGCTTTATGCTAGCCTTTGGGATTAAGCCACAAAAGGATGAGAATTACACTCTAAAAGGGAAGAGAGTCAAAGAGTTTATGAACGTATTTTGTGATGTTTGGAGGAAGAAGGGAAGAGCATCTGAGGCAGAGGTAACAGCAAGTACAAAGGCCCTGAAGTAGGAGTGTGCACATTAGCATATTCAGAGAAGGAACAGGGCTAGGACTTGGAGAGCTAGTGGACAAGGTGGGCAGGAGGAGGAGAAGTCAGAGAGGACGTGTGTGCGTGACACCGAGTGTACCAGGTGTGTAGGCCCCTAACAGGAACTCCACAGGAGAACAGGCAGACAGCAGGGGGTCATGGAGGTTTCATGGGGAGGGGACAGTTACAGACACCTTGCAGTTGGGTGTGGTGGAGCATTCCCGTAATGTCTACAGTCTGACAGGCTGAGGCAGGATAAAAGCAAGTTTGATCCCAACCTGGGTAACTTACCATCTTAGCCAGACCCTGCCTCAAAATACAAAATATAAAAGGGTTGGGATGTCCCTCGACGTGAAGGCCTGGGCTCAAACCCCAGTATCCCCACCACCACCACCAAAAAGAAAAAAGAAAGGAAAGGAAAGGGGAAGGAAAAGAAAGGAAGAAAAGAAAAGAAAAAAAAAGGAGTGAGGCATTACAATGTACACCTATAATCTTAGCAACTCTGGAGTCTAAGGCAGGAGGATGGCAAGTTCAAGGCCAGCACTGAAAGTGCCCTAAAAAAAAGAGGGAAGAGAAAAAAAAAAAAAAAAAACAACTGGTGTGTGATCTGATGGAAAAAAACCAAGGAGGAGGAAAGGTAAAAGAGCCCAGCAAGGAAGCCATTACAATGACCCAGGAGAGAGCCCATGGAGCTGTGTGTGAATGTGATTAAAGTGACTAGATTCTGGATATATCTTGAAAACCAACTCAACAGAGTTTCCCACACACCGAATGTAGTTTCTGGCCTGGCCAAGTGAAAGGATGGTTCTGGTATTAAGCAAGACGGGCAATGTGTATGGAGGGGGCATTCAGAGCAAGTGGTATGGAGTAGCTTGCAGAGTTCCATATCACACTTCAGAATTCACAGGGTCACAGAGAGACAGTCAGTCAAGCTGCCAAGTTCTACTTCTCTTTTCTTTTGGTCTCTTAGTTCAATTTCATCTCAATACCCAGAAGTAGGCACCCTCCTCCCTTTTAATGCCTGATGTTTCCTGAGCCCATGTTGGGCCTGGTTTACAGGAAGTTGCTCTCCACGGCTTGTTTTGGGATCTGTGTTCCAACAAATATCCCCAAGAACTCTAGTAACTCCTCTGAGCCATCCTGGTGCCTAACTCTGAAAGCCTCTGGATGGTGCCTTGCTGCTGCTGGTATCCCTGGAGGGATGGCAATGGCCTGATCTTCCAGCCGCTTCCCCTCTCCCGGGGCTGTCTGCGCTGTGTCTCATCCCAGTTGTCATGGTCCTGGTTCCCCCACTTCCTGGTTGTCACTGGTGACTCCCAGATGGGTTCAAATCAGCTTACTGTACTCCAAAACTAGAATATGGTGAAATAAATACCAAAATAAATGAGAGTGGGTTTACTGTGTTTCCTGTCTCTTTCAGACAGCTCACTGGTGATGGGGGGGGGGGGTCCTTCTGATGACCTCATATAGGTAATGCACCTCTGTCAGGTTCACATGTGGAAACTTGACCGAGACCCACAGGGCCTGACTTACGGACTAGAGAACCTGTCCTTAGGAGCTGCTTTCAGGGGCCACTGTGCCCAGCTAAGGCTCTGATGAGCAAAAGGCCCTGGATTTGGCTGGTCATCTCACGGTCTCACTCTTGAACCCTTGGCTTCTCCCACAGTGACTTCTGACCTAAAAAAGTGAAGCAATCCAGATCTGAACACCTGAGCACCAAGAGGCTTTGATAAATTAAAAGGTGGCTTGGCAGGAAGCCAGCCCCTGAGTGCCCCACATTTTAACAAAAGGCTCTTTGTGGAAGCCACAGAATGCAGGGAAAGCCAGGGCATAAGGCCATGTTGATTGAGAAAGAAGGAAGAGAAAGCTGTTTTTCAGAGGTTTTTTATTTTTTTAAATTTGTCTCATAAGGTTGTTGAAAGTGTTAAAAAAAAAAAAGTACAGAGGGAGAGACCTGCTGTCCTTTCTGTTCGGATGTCA